AAATCGTGGGCATCGTCTGTGTAGCTGTCCCAGATTGCGACATGCCAATGTTTGGCGTTCCAGAGTCGACGTCCTCAACGGTCTTCTGTTCGACTGGAAGGATTTTCCAATAGCCCGCACAAGGCTGACAGCGCAATTACTGATGGATGATCATTTGCAGTTTCTGATGACAATTCTTGAGGCGCTAGGTCTTCCGAAGGGCCGCGAACAGGCTAGGTCACGCCATGCCCGCCTTAATCCTCGCTCTCTTAAATGAGACTGGGGCATCGCGTCCCCGCGCCAAGCACCAACTGATCAGTCTTGATTTGACATGCTTCGTGACGTAGAGAATATTTCTGAGCTTGTGGTCATCGTACGGCCAACAACGCTTGTCGCCGAGATGCTGTAGTTTCGGCTCCGTGTAGATAATGGATGACTTCAGCTTCGCTAAGGGTCCGCTGGATGGAAGGAGGCTCATCTGGCACCTGAGGCACCTGAGGCCTTCGATCAAGATCTGCTTCAAGGTGAACTTCTCCAAGCAGCAATGTACTGTGGATTCAAGAAAGCATCTTCACGGTAATTGTGACGAAATCTAGGAAAACGTTGCGAGGAGACTGTTGGGCATTGGGCTGCCGTCCCTGTCCGCGATATTGGCGCAGAAGACCAGGTGAATACTGCTAGCAGCAAACGCCGCTAGGCGACACATTCATTTCCTGCCGCTGGAACGACCCTGGCATGCGTCATTGTGGCTTCGCTACATCCGATTCACGATGAGCGAACACCCATGCCATGCATACACGTTCAGTACCAGCCTTCCATGGCCTTGGTGGCTTGTGTCATTCTTTCAGATTCGAGATGTAAGCAAAAACGCTGTGATGACCAAGTCAGATTAGTGCTGTTTCCCTCGAGAGAAACCTGTAGAGACCGGGCAAAACACTATTGCACCCATTTGGGCGTGGAGAAGCCGACCATTTCGAGGGATACATAGAGAATTGTTGGGACGGCATCTCTGGCAGAAGGCAGGAACGCTACCGAGGAGATTGGACGTGTGAGGCCTGGTTGAACGCAAGCTTTCTGTGTCTTGAGTTGCTAATCTCGTATTGAGCATGTGCGATTTCTTTTCTTGAGGCTTCATCTCTATTCATCGACTATTCTTCTGCCCGGGACAAGTTGTGTAATAGCAACTGGGTTTGAGATCCGGGGGCCGCGATGTTTGCTTCTGCTCCATCGACGTTATCGCCTATGACCCAATGAGAGCGTCTTATTGTTAGATCACGTTGCTTCTCGTTCATCTGGTGGCACGCGTAGACCCATTCTGGACCAGCCGAGGAATGCGTCTGACTTACATGACGGGAACCACGAAGCTATGGAGACTTTTGGTCCCTCTTCTCCTCCTGGGCTTATTTGAAAGACATTGACTTTTTTGAGGAGACCGCAGTTTTCCTTGTGCAATATCAAAGCGACTTCACTTGTGCTCAGACTTTGATTCATGCACAATGGACACACCAACAAACTTGCCTATTTCTTCTTGTTACCAAGGCTCCAACTTTGCAAGTCAAGTTTGCTTTGGAATATTTCTTATGCTAGAGCGACTATACTTCCTATGTACTGAGTTACTCTGACTGAGGACGGTAAAAGGAGTAAAGCGAAAACAATTGATAGTAATAACGGCGATAGTGACGACGACGTTAGTACTGGCTCTATGGAGTACACGCGACCACAAGAAAAGTAGGCAGTCTCTATACGTAGCACGAGACTAGAAAGGGGCTTGGGAATGAGGATAGAGGCACTGTTGGAGGCGGCAACAGCATTCAAATAAATCGCAGTTGTAACAGTATTCATAAAAGAGACGATGTCTTTCCTAAAGATTTCTGAACATCATGTATGTGATGTTTTCAAAGTTTTCAAACAAAGTACAAAACCAATGAAGATGACCTAAAGCCAAGAACGCCTGCCCAATGCTCACGACCCAAGCCAAATCAGATGCGCTCCCGCCCAATGCCATCATGAAGTATGCCATGCATGCCCCTCGCTATGCCCTTACAATCCCAATCCCGTTTGTAGCAAGTTATACACATCCCACATCACCTCCTTAAATCTCACGCTTCTTGATGTTGCACTTCTTCAAGCACGCATCGACACCAAGGGCGATGCTGGCAGGAATAGCAGCGCGGACCATCTCGATATCCTCGCCGTCGATGCTCTGGCCAAAGGTAGCAGCGATGAGTTCGTCGCTAAAAGCAAAGGTCTCGTCGGCGATCTGGCCGGTGCCAAAGTCCTCCGAGGTGAAGCTGGCGACGAACATGGCGTCGGTGCAGTCGGGGTTGAACTGGCTGTGAACGGAGCCCTGGTAGAAGGGGGTCATCATGTAGGGGCTGAGCTCGGTGCGGATGATGCGGCGGGTCTTGCCGTCGGCGGCGAGGACGCCGTTCTCGGGCGCCATCTCGGTGATGAGACGGCCCTCGGTGACGATCTGGAGCTCGACGGATCGGGGGTGGACGTGGAGGGTGTTCATGCCGCAGGGCTTGACCCGTCCGACAGCCTTCAAGAGTCGTCAGCTTTGTTGTTGGAAGATCTGGGAGTATCAGGGGGAACTTACCATGCCGGCGCCAGTGCTGACGAGGGCGGGGAATGTCTTGCGGTTGGCAGCGACGAGCTCACCACCCTTTCCGGGGTTGGCTTGCTTCTGGTTGAAGTCGAAGACGAACTGCTTGTCATCGGGGAGGAGCTTGAAGCGGTCGGCAGCGCTGTTCTCATTAATTTGATGCTCAAGCCTGATGTTGTTTGTATTGTAAGACTCACGTATCAGCGAGGAACAGCTGTTGCGTCAAGCTCAAAGCCGGAGTAGTATCGCGAGTGCTGATGGGTCCGGCGAGAGCAGAAGAGGCGAAAGCCAGGAAGGCGGCGGCGGTGGTTTGAGTGAAAAGCATCTTGATTATTGTGTATGTTGGATGGTTTGCGTATTAGGTTGGTGTAAAGCTGCGATGACAGACTCTAGGAAACAAGAAAATCGAGCAGATAGGAAACTGTGAATATGTGGATGCGAGATGAGATGCAAGAGAAGGTATCATGAACACGGGATGTGACGCTTTTTTATATACTGTGATGCTCGCCTGCCTGAATGTGTATTCAGGAACAGGCAGCCATGTATTCTTGGTGGATGTACTCTATTTTGGACCCAAATCATCCATCGTCAACAAGGTCCCGGCCTCCCAAGCATGGCTGGGGGACGGAGTCAGCAACGGCAACGAACGCACCCGACCGCCATCTCAGCATACAGTGGGCAGTGAGCAAGACGTGGGAATGTGCCAACATGGCACGCGTTCTGTGGCACGCGGCGTAGCTATCCAGTTCCTCCCAGGAGTGGTGGACTTCGACAAGATGGAAGCCTTGCTGGAGCCGGTCTACCCGTCAGCGCTAGGCTGGAGTCATTGGTCTTGCTCTTTACAAAAGTCGAAATCCTGCAGAAAACCATAGGGCCGGCCGGGCTGTCTCTGCGCGGATTGGTCAGTCGACGGATGAAGTCCCGAGACTACGGGCCTTGACCACTTTGCGTATGGGGGGCTTGGGGGAGGAGGAGTAAACTTTCTTAGAACAGAAGGTGGGCTGGGGTGCGCCCGTTTTCTGATTGGCTCTTTGGTCGTCCGGAGAGCGTCAATCCGGGCATCCAGAGGCTGTGTTGGGCCTGCCTCTGCAGGGCCTCTGCAAGCCCACGGCACACCACCTTCAGCGCGCTTGTTTTTCCCATTGCCGCCTAAAAATAAAACAAGCGACGGGAGAGCAACCGTTTGTTCGTCCCAACTTTCATCCTCTTTGACAAACGAAACAAAAAAGCTTGGCACTGTCTGGTCGAGAATAATTCCATCCGCTTGGGAGGATCCCCAGACCCTGGCCAACATCTATTCATGATCGCCAACGCCTCGCGGATCAGTGACAATCCGGGGTCCCGCGTCCACGGCCACGTGGTGGTACATGGAAATTGTTTTTTTCCATATTCTTCGTCGCCAATGTCTAGGATCATGGCATAGGAGGCGTGTTCGGCGCCTATCGGGCTCGGCGGCCTCTGATGGGGATGGCAGCTTGGCATGTTGACGCAGACGATTTGTCACATTCGATGCATTTCGAAGACGCGGTCTGGTTGAACTCACCCGATTTTCTTAACACGGCAACCGCGAGTCCCAGGGCGTCTTTACTCCGCGTAGTCGCAATCTCTAGAGCGCTAGCTAAGGTCCCTCGTCGAGGTAGGTCATTTGCCAGGGAGTATCTTGACTCCTAACGAAGCTGGCTACTCGTATGTCCGGGAATGACGTCTAGAATCTGACACTTCGGTGCTGGGTCTTATTCACCATCACACCGTCACACAACCCGCCTCTCACCGGGCTGCACAAGTTCTTCCGCACAGGCATGAGTACAGGGCAGGATCACCGACTGAAGTCCTGCCTTTCACACACGCAAGCTGATGGATTATTCTGCAGCTAGCGGAATTTTATCCCACGTAACGGGGCCTACTCAAGGCAAATCCCGGTAGCCCGGGACATAACATTGACGAGAAATTACACGATCGATCCTTCTTGTGTTCTAAGCTGGTATACCAGCAACTCTCGATGCTTCAGACTGACTCTAGTCCCATCTTCAGGCACGCGTCATCACCTGTGATCTTGACTTCGATAGGTCACAAGAACCAAACGCAAACAGTCTATCACATGTAGCATCTTCCCCTACAGCTGCCAAGCTCCGCCCGCGTTTTGTTTGGTGGTCTAGCTGCGAAGGTGAGATGCGAAATTCTGGCAAGAGCAACTAGCCGATCTAACTTGGGGAAAAATGACGACGTGAGACAACCAATGACCCATACTGGGCCCTCACTTATCACACATAGAGGCGGCCATCCTTCGGAGGGCTGGGGCAGTCGAGGACAGTGCCAAAACTGAGATGGCCTACCTCCTCCGGTTCCTGACCGTCTGTCGGGTGTCTGGACCAGTCTTTGGGCATCTTGACCTCGCCCCATTTGAGAGGAAAGTATATCATCTTTTTTTTTGATTGTCTGACCCATTTGCGGCTTCAACATGCTCGCCTGTAAGCTCTGAAAGCTCGGTCTCTTGCATATTGTTCTCTTCATGGGAATCCGTGGGCACTTGGGCCAGCGGAGAGACGCGACAGGCAGCCGCAATCGCCATTGAGTTGGACCCAACGACTGGCATCTGCCCTGGCAGCTTCTGTCTCGATAGAATCGTTGGGCAGATCATCATCAAGATACCAACGAGGAATAATGCAAGCGTGTGCGCTCTCGAGCTACCGAGATTTATTGCAGCATCTCTCGGAAGACTGTCAGGATCGACTATATAGTCGGATGGGCCAAGAACATAGTAGGCTGCCATTGACGTGTTAGTCCAGATTTGTATAATCAACCTTAGGGAGAGGATGTGCTCACTGCCCTGTGAAACCACCATGAAGAGCGCATTCGAAAGCAACCAATGCATTAAGACGCTGGAGACCATCAGAGGAACGCTAAGCTTATATGGCAATTGAAGGCGGTATGTAGATGTTTGGTGGCCCCTGTGGAAAGTCAGAATCTTGACTATAGGTCCAACTCAGAGACTTGCTCAGGTTTCGTGACCCGCAACGGGCGATGCTTGGTTGAGAATTCACTCCACTCCCACCCCATCTCCATTTGGGTGATCAATGAGTTAATCACATAATAGTTAGACGAAAAATCCAGTTGCGGGATGTTAGCCACCATGGTAGTGAGGAAATGAATATTCGCACCCCCGATAGGAGCCATGACTATGGCATTCTCCGCGTTATTCCACTTTCTGGACATAGTCAGCAATTCTTTCCGTTGTTGAAACATTCTCACGGGAGTGCGAACTTTGAAGCGCCGATACTCACGTTATGTTTATCTTGAATTGACCCACGACGATGAACAGCAACACGAGAATACTCGGAATGAATTGACAGTAGGCTTTGACCCAGGCGCTCGTGAGAACAGCTGGAGAACGATGGTGTTGTCTTTGAACCCATTTTCGACGCCCCAGTAGTTGACAGATGGTTCCATCTCTTGCTCTTTCCTGAAGGATAGAGTGCGTCATTAAACCTGACACAAAGTCCGGGCGTGGTTGAATGGAGATAAATGATGCCACAGCATCACCCAGAGTAACGAGAGGTTCTTCGTCATCAAGAACTAACATTCCAACCACACAGGTGAGAATCTTCACGAAGATTGAGATGAGGACAATGAGAAGAAGCGGCTTGGCGAGAGCGACGCTGCAGGTTGTGTTTCTTGGCTCCGCTCGGCAGTGATCTAGCTCAAAGCCATGGTAATCTGGAACCGGTTGCGAACGGTGCCAGTCTTGAACAGAGATAGAGACTCGGCTTTCATCTTCTTCCCATTTTTCCCATTTGAAGAACTTTTCGCAGTTCGTGAGGCAGCTGGCAAAACCGTCACGTGTAAGGGTACCACTCATAGCGCATTGTGCACTGTACCATAGGGTATTGAATTCGTCTCGAGGCAAGATCGGTTGCCACATCTCGTCATTATTCGCCGAGAGGTTCCAAGTTTCAGATCTTTTCCATCCAGAGCCCTTCAAGACTATGACGAGATTGCGAAAGTTGGTCAAGCCAGTACACGTTGATATATCGAAGAGCCCTCCACAGTCTGCTGGCTCGAGTTTCTCCCATTCCGAACCTATAGCAGCTGCTTGCGACACATTGAGAGCATATTTTGAAACATTGTTGGTGACGAGATCTTGAAAGGTTGGCAGGAGGGCCGTGTCGCCAAGATTGCCATTGGTTGTGGTATTGCTTATGATCATGCTTGCTCCTGGGAGAAAGAAGGAGCCGCCCTCGATGAATGCGTTGGAGGCGACTGTTACATGAAAATCCGCCATTCGTTTGTCGATCTTGAACATATTGAACATCATATGAATAGGGACTGACGAAAGTAAGCAAAGACACGCAAAACGTTTGAAGCGGGAAAGATAGAAAGCGTTCCGCCAAGAAGTTACGCCTATATCAAGCCATCTACCCTGAGCGTGAGCAGTATCGACTTCCGATCTGGTTGGTGCGTTTAGAACTTGCATGAAGAAGTTTGAGGATGCGAGCACCAGAGTCGAAAAAATGTTGATCAGCAGGTGCAGCATCGTGTTGGTAACGGTCGTCCTTCCGCAGTCTGCTGAGAAAAACCGCCAGGATTGCATAAAGTTCTTGGTTTTTGCCAAAGCGACCCAATAAATGCCCACGAAAAACAGCATCGTAACTGTCAGTGTGCCGATATTGAAAAGCGCCATTCTTCGCCACCCAGAGGGGAGCCATGTCGCATTTGTCGAAGCTTGGTTCCGTATGATGAACGATGTAATGGAAGCTTTCCAGTAGAATCTCTCTGGAAAACGAGATCGAAGAGGAACAAATCCTTGTTTGAAAGCAAAAAGACTTCCAGTCATTTTGGCGGCGCGATCGAAAAGCTTCATCTTTGTGTTACCTCAGGCTATTGGTCACCGAACACAGTCACACGAAAAAACACAGAAGCTAAGGCAGCTCCTTTTATACACGTTCCCTACTCACAGCCTGATCTGATGCTGTGTCACATACGAGATGCTCAGCCAAGCCTACTGAACACCAGCCTTGTCTTACACTAGACTGAGGAGAGCCAGCCTGTTTCTACTTCCACCCAAATAGGAAGCTGTAAGGTGAGGGACACGGAAGGTCGACTGCATGTCAGCACCGTTGGCCAATCATGCATTTCTCCAATATAGTAGTCTATACGAGGTGTGCAATCTGCAAGACTGCGGCATTGCTGCTGGAAAACACTGTGTACATAGTATATCCACAGTCATCCCTATCTTTCAGAAAGTCTAGCTATGTGACTAGAACACTCCTATACTACTGACTTGGTGTGTGATAACAAACAGCGAGATGTTGAATAGACAGCTGCGACGAAAAATCATCAGCACACGAGTACAAGAAACGAGAAAGCCCCACAAAAGCTCACAATATCTAATCTTGTGATTTGAATTAGAACAAGGACTATTTGCGTATGATGCTTTTCTGTTGAGAAACGTTCGAGTTGCATTAGAGACGCTGTCGAAGAGAATTCACTTGTACGTCCGAGTCACACCTAGCCCCCACTAGGCCTATATATCTCGTGAGACAGCATAATTTTCCAACACAATGCAAGCACGGTAGCTCAGGGGTAGAGCGCTGGGCTCATAACCCAGAGGTCCCTGGATCGAAACCAGGTCGTGCTACATTTGGTTTTGCTTTTAAGCCCAGGTTGTTGTTTTTGCTCTCTTCACTGCGTTGGAACGATATTCGGCTTCCGGAAATTCAAAGCCTCTCACAACCTGACTTAGTCATTGTTCCGTGATTTAAGATGTCCGCTTGCCACTGTTTCCTTGTGAATATCCACATCATATGTGCAGTGTCCATTCGATTAATGAGTTGGATGTGTTCGAAAATTTCTCTTTACAATTACCGTATGCCGGTACCTCCCTTTTGGATTATATCGTACATCACGTGTCTTATCTTTACAATGCCTTCTCCCTGGAGCCCACGACGCGGTCAAAGCTGTCAAACGCCATAGTCATCGAGTGCCGTCCGCCAGTCTTGCCTCTCAAATGCTCATCAAAGTTGAGGACCTCCTTGAACGGCACCTTAGCCACGATCTCCACCGTCCTGGCCATGGACTTCTTGCCCCTCAGGGATGCGACACTGTCGTACGGGTCGGGGGGAGCGTAGATCCTGCTGACATCAATCGTTGAGCTCGACTCGGCAGACTTGTCATTGATCTCCAAAACATGACCTCCCGCGCCAGAGCTGATGTCGTGCTGCACCATGCCCGCCGCGGCCTCGGGACAGCTGATGTGCACCAGCATAACGGGCTCCATGACACCGACCGCCTGGCGCGTGGTGTGGGCTTCGCGGAGGGCCTCGCGGACAGCACGGCTTGCGGCGCCTGTGAAGTGTCCTCCTGATGGGTTCTCAACCTCGGTGGCATCGACGTTAATTGTGATGTGGCAGCCCTGCACAGGTGAACCGCGGCGCGGACCACGTGCGAGTGCGGCGACTACTCCGTTGATTAGCTGTTGGCGGGCTTCTTCAGGGTCAAAGCTGGGGAAATAGCCCTCTTCGGGTAGGTCGATGATGACATGGATCATATTGCCATCGCGCTCGACAGTTGGTTCAAGGGCGGCCTGCCGGTGGTGCTCTTCAAGCGGCTCAAGGGTCGCGCTGCATGACACTCTGCCAGACTTGCTCGCGACCACTCTGTCATACGTGACGTGGTGAGGTCCGATCGGGGCAGTGATGCACTCCTTGTAGTCGACCTCAATGGGGCCGAAATCGGCTTGGACCTTGGGGTTTTGCTTGAGGTTGTGGACCGCGATATCAAGGTGGAGCTTGCCCATGCCCTGGAGGATGAACTGCTCAGTCTTCTCGTCGCGCGTCCATCTGAGACTGGGGTCTTCTCGGGATGCGTTGTCTAGGGCAATCTCAAGCTCCTTGGCGGCAGTCATGCCCTGAGGATCGATGGCAAGGAAGGCAACCGCTGGGGGGATCTCGGGCGGTCTTATGTGAACATGCTTCAGACTATCTGGAACTTGCTTGTTGCCGACAGATGCGAGAAGAGTGTCGCCCGTGCGAGCCTTCTTCAACCCCCTGATGGCACCAATTTGGCCCGTTGCCAGATGCTGCACGTCTTCGGTCTTCTCCGCAGATATTTGTACCAGACCGAAAGGCTTCTCCGACTGCTGGATGTGGGTGTTCCAAGTAGACGAGTTCCGGTGAAGATCGCCGTGGTAAACGCGGACGAAGCTCAGAGTTCCTTCCTTGGGATGGTGGAAGACCTTGAAGACAGACGCTACAGCAGCAACCTGGCCGTGGCTGGCCTTCTTGTTATTCTTGTTAGTGTTATCCAGAAGCTTCTGGAGCTCTTGTTTGTTGGCTCCCACGCGAACCTCGAGCTCTGGACGTTCGTCTGGACTAGGCAGGTAATCGACGATGGCGTCCATCAGAGGCTCGACGCCAATGTGTCGGAAACTGGCACCCGCCAGGACGGGGATGGCGTTTCCGTCGCCGCTGCGAATGACGTTGCGGACAGCCTCTTTGAGCATTTCACTGGTGATCTTGGTGGGATCGTCAACGAAGAGATCCATAATGGCCTCATCCCACTCGGCGACTCCTTCGATCAGTTTTTCGCGAGCCGTCTCGATCTCCGCAAGAAGTGGGTTGCCCGAAAGCACCTCCTGAAGCTCGGCGAATTCGTACTTTGTCTTTTGCTTTTCGGCCTTCCACCTGTATCCGATGCGGTTGATGATGTCGACAACGCCGACAAATTGGTCGCCCTCCCACCATGGTATCTGACATACTAGTGGCCATCCGCCGAGACGAGAACCAATCTCAAGCACCGATTTGCGGAATGATGCGCCGTCTCGGTCCAGTTTGTTGACGAAGACGATACGCGGGATCTTGTGCTCATGCGCAGAAGCCCACACTCTCTCTGTGTGAGCCTCCACACCCTTCACAGAGTCAATGATGCACACTGCACCATCAAGAACAGGAAGACACCTGTCGACTTCGAATCTGAAGTCCTGATGACCGGGGGTATCGATGAGGTTGATGGTTTTGGGAGGCTTTCCAGGCTGGCAGTCTTCTGGTAGAGGCCAGTTGAAAGTGATGGCTGCTGACTGAATCGTGATGCCCCTTTCTCTTTCCAAGTCAAGAAAGTCCGTTACGGTGTTTCCGGCATCGACATCTGGATCCTCTCATCAGCTCATGATCCTGCAGACTCTCACTGCCCATCCGCAACTCTCATCCACCAGAATGACCCCTCACAAAAATTCTTACCTCCAACTCGACGAGTCACGCCGCTATAGTATAACATGCGCTCAGTGGTGGTCGTTTTACCCTTCAGGTCATCAGCAATCTCATCCTGCAAGCTGTGAATGGCGCACTCACAGCGTCAACATGAGCAATGATGCCAATGTTCCTAATATCCTTAATCGCAGAGTGATGCTTCGTCTGCACGGAAGGCATGTGTATCGACCTCCGGAAACTCAAGACACCAACATACAGAGCTCGCCCCGGCAGCCGGCCGAGGTGGCTCTGCCTAGGCACTGAAGCTCGAAGGGCTAACATGACGGGAACATCAAACAAAATTTGTTGTACAAATGTTGAGAAAAAGAAAGTTCCAATTGATTGCGCTCACATCGTAGTAAGCGAAAGAGCCAATGAGAACAGCAATCCGCTGTCGTAAAGTCCTCAATATCAGACCATCAATCAAGTGGGAGCTGGTGAAGTGAAGCTCTCACCTTGCTTCGGCTGAGGTAATGAGCTTGCCTCTACACCAATTGACGTCGCGATTGTCGCTGAACCCCTGCTGGCCCTCAGTGTCAAAAAACCTTCTGTGAGAGGCTGGTGGGTTAGCTTGGGTGTGGCTGGTGACATGCGCCTCCTGCTGGCACTGCTACGTGTTCGGGTTGTTTGAGCAGTACGGCAGCAGCTAACAAAGTACCGGGTACCTACCCCCGTCGTGGTATCCACAGCTGCACTCCTTGTATCTAATCTGCCAGGTTTGCCAGCTTCAGGAGCAAAGCACAACACACACTGGACACAAGTGCTGCACCTTGACTCGTCAGCCTCTTCTCCGGACGTCACACCTTTCGCACCCACCTTGCACATTTCCCACTCACACATCCCCATCCCCAAAGACCCGCGATATCCAGTTGCCTGGCGTCTCCGTCTCCATCCACGTCAGCTTCTTCTTCCCCTTCTTCTTCCTTTACGTATTCCCCTTCTGCCCATCAACTTTCCCGAAACCACCACCACCAAGCTAAATCGCCAACATGGAGCTCTCCGACGCCTTGTACGTGCCCCCCGGACATCCCATTGCATTGCCATGGACTAACACATCGCCCCCAACAGCCGCATTGTCAACCTTGTCACCGCGACCGTTATGGTCCTGGGTGGTATCGCCCAATTCTTCGACTTCTCCTTGTACGTGTCCTCGCCCTCAGCCGATCCCGTCGGACATCTCATGTGCTTGCGCATCGCTGCCGCGAAGCTGTCTCGCAGCGCGCGCGCACGGCTCCGCGCATCAAAAAAATTCTGTGGACAAGGGGACGTAGTCTATGTTTGTACGATCCGACTAACAACCGCCTGTAGCCAGGGAATCATTGTTGGCGCCTACGTCATTATCTTCGGTCTCTGTAAGTTTGCGCCCTGCCGAGAAACCACAGTCGGATCGGGAACCAAAGCTAACCTCTTGGACACAGGCACCGCTCTTCTTGGTACTTGTCCTTGTCTCCAGCTCCCAGAAGCCCGCCTAACCCTGTTGCAGAGTTCCAGATTCCTCCCCAGGTGTCCCGCTACGCCTCCTTCCTCTTCTCCTTCATCGGCCGTGGAATCTGTAAGTTTAAGCCTGGCAGCCCTCCCCGATTTGGAGAACCTGCGATCCTGACGCTCGCTTCCTAGTCTACATCTTCATCGGCTCCATCCTCATCAACAACGGCATCTTCAAGATCCTCGCCGGCTCCATCATCGGCATTATCGGCGTCGCCTACGCCGCCCTCGAGTTCGTCCCCCAGATCGAGCCGCCAGCCAACATGCGCGAGGCCGACGGCGGCTGGGGAGCAGAGCAGGTGTAAGCTAGCCGCCCCCCTTTACAACATACCAAAAAGCCCATCTCGGATGCGTTTCCCTCCCAAAGTTTCTTTGGGGCGGGAGGCACGGTTTAGAGATGGCTACGATGTGAACCGGATTTGCTGAGGATTTTTCGAATTGTCAAGATACTGAAAAGAGAGGGGAACGCGACCTTCGGCCTTGCGACAAAGCATGGGGAACAGAACCGAACCGAGAAGAGAGGCAGGGGGCAGAACCGACGAAGAAGGGAAACCATTGTAAAACCCGACAGAAAACCCCCTCTGGATGTCTGGCCCGCCGGGCCCGCTGTACATTGCGTGTATTCGGAAACTTGTAAAGCGCTACTGGTATGGGTTTGCGCATGGTGTAGGACTTGTGTCAGTGGTTGGGAAGATGTTGCGTCTGCTTTACGGCGGGCGCAATTGTATGAATTTCACTTATTTCTTAGATGGTGTAAGGAGAACAAAGGAGGCCGGTAAAAGCAGGGTATTGTTTGGGATCCGTAATGGCTAGTCTAACAGACCTGATTTTTTTGCCCTCGAAAACACAGAACCAACATTGGATGTTCCAGACCCCTTTTCTTGAACAACTCGACGTGCAAACTTGCTCGCTTTTTTTTACTTTTTGCGGCGGAAACCAGCAACGTACGCGGCATCTTGTCCAATGACAATTGCCATGCTTGAATTTTTCTCCCTCGAGGCCGTCTGTTCCACTACCCTGGCCTAGTAGAGCCCATTACCAGTCGATGGTCCGATATCTAAACCATGGAAAACCAAAAAAGACTATTCAAACCCGCCCCTTTTCTCTTGAAAGAAGCATTTGCCCTCCATAACCCGTCCAAATACAAAAGGACAAAAAACAAGGGATTTTTTGGTCGTCGTAATACGAAGAAACGCCGCCGCGTCGTTAGCCACGCCGGGACAGATAAGATGCAGTTTTGTTTTGAGCGCCAAGATGCGCAACACCACCCTCTCCCTTTTCCTGTAAAGGCCAGACCTGTCCGCTTTTGTTTTTCTCTCTCTCGTTTCACCGGGGGTAAAAAATAGAGTAAGAAGAAGAAGAATGGAAGAAACAAAGCAAAGCAAAATGACTCCGTTTGGACTTTCGCGCACAAAACCACCAGATTACCGCCCACCATCTCCCTGTTTCAAAAATTCACACAAGCAACTCCAAAGCCATGATGTGCGCGCACATGATAACCCCGTGCCGATATCCCGATCCCGTTTTTCGTGTGTATCGTTTGGAAGATTCGTTCAGTCGTTCAGTTCCGCAAGTTCCCGCTCCTTCGCAGCGAGCATCTCCCTCATCCGTTCCGCCTCCCTGGTCAGAGCGGCCCTCTTCTCGGCCCTCGCCCTCTCACTCTCTTGGTTGCTATAGCCCAGATGGCTTGTCTGGCTGCTGGGCCCCGGCGAGGGCAGGGGCGTCAGGCGAGTGTTGGAGTAGGACCCTGGACTCGGCGCCGAGCCGGCGGGAGACATTGCAGACCGGGCGTAGTGCTCAGCGGCGTCCTCGCCTCCGGAGTGGTAGGTAGGGCTCTCGTCCCCGTCGGTGGGGTTCAGGATCGACTTGATGGACGACAGCCGCTTCGAGGTGTCGGGGCCACCATCACCCGCCAGGTTTCCTTCAGCAGACAAGGACCGTTTGCGCGATGGCGGGAGAAACGACGCAGGCGACAGAGACGATTGACGTTCGCCAATTGCGGTCAGCGATGTGATCGGCGCAAGTCGGTTGTCGTCGTTGAGCGATCCAGGGTAGGGATGCGACGTCCGCGGCATCGATGATTGATAGGCTGCCAGGTCGGTCGCCGATGGCAGAGGGGACCCTTGCCTGTTGGGGCGCATCTGAGGATCTGGTAGCATAGCCAGGGGGCCCTCCTGGCGATGCCGAAAACCCAGATTGATAGACCCGTCCTCGTTCATCGTGCCTCTTTCCGGGCTGCCCTCAGGCGCCATGCTCTGCGTTTCTGATCCATCGAGCATCTCTTCAGTCCACTCGCCGCCAAACGAAGAGGGAATCACTCGTTTCCTTCGCTTGATTGTCGACTTTTTCATGGTGACGGGCCGGTGGACTCCATGAAGTTTGTAGTAGAGACCTAATTATGTCAGCACATCGAGATCGAGATCTTCCCCAGATTTCGACGGCACATACCGCAAGCATTGCAAATCGTGTGCCCACTTTCATCACGTCGCCACAGGGGCGTGACGGTCGTGCTGCAATTTTGACAGGCGATAACGACAGTCGTGTTTGGATTTTGTCCCTGTATTTGCAGAGCAGCAATGTCAACGGGAGCCGCGGGGTCGTCAACTGCCATGGGCTCAGGCTGCTGCTGCTGCTGACTCGAGGAGCTGCCACCGCCGCCGCCGCCGCAACCTTGCCCCTGAACAACATTCAAGTGAGCAGATTTCGACACGCGGTTGTTATAGGCAGGACACCCGCTGCAACCCTCTGCGCCGCCAGTGCCATTGCACTTTCCACCGCCTGGGCAGGTCCCTGAAGGGGCCTGCTCCTCGGTGACATACGTCGGAGCGGGAGCGCTGAGATATTTCGGTCCAGGGCCAGGCGCAGGGGCGATTTTTGGCGGAGCGGTCCTTGGTGTAGCAGCAACAAGATGCGGCGGTTTCTTCAGGTTAGTTGGCCGCGAAGCGTTTCTCGCCTTTTGGTATAGGCCACAAGCGTTGCAAATCGTCGTTCCCTGAGGCGATCTCCTCCACAGCGGTGTCCTCGTTGTACCGCAGTTGCTGCGGCTGGTTAGTCTTGTTGCAGAAAAGGGGGTGGTCTGGCTGTCGTCTCCTTACCTGCAGACCTGGCCGGTTTGCCCGGATGCAGAACTCGCGGTCGTCGGTGCCGGGCTGGGTCTGGCTTCCGTCCTTCTCGCCTGGGGAGAACTGTCGCTGGACACTGAGGCTGGACTCCTGGCGACCGACACTGAAGTGGCTTCGCTTGACGGACTGCGTCGCATTTCCGGGCGCAGAGTCGTCGAGTCGATGTTGTCGGCACTGGGGCCGGGGCTGGGGATTCTCGCGTGCTCTACGGCGCCATGCTGCCCTCCGTCTCGGGCTTTCGGGGACATGCGCCGTGATGGAAGGGCGGTTCGCATGGTCGAGGGGGGCTGTTTGGCCGAACCCTGAGCCGCCGACGAGATGCCATCGGCCATCGCCATTCGAAGAAGCGCGGCTCGGTCGTAGGTGCGAGGTGGATATCTGCGGCAGGCGTCTGTGTTGTATCAAACCGCAAGACCAGTAGATCCGAGAGGCTCGTATTCAGGGGTTTGCTGTTAGAAGCCTTCACCGAGGTATCGATCACGGGGGATTTGATGACTTCGTAAGCAGTAGAGGCTCAGACCGGAGGAAGGCGACAGACTGGCTCGGAGGTAAGAGGATACTTCAACGGGCAAAGCGGTCGACGGAGGTAGAGGAAGAGGGAAAGAAGTCAAAAGCAGGTCAAACTTAGACAACCCCACCACGGTTGCAAAGGTGGTTCGACAGTCGGCAGGCCGGAGGATGGTTCAGGGGAGGGATTGCCCCGTCCACAGTCGACGACAAGAGGTCAGGAGGGATATGGAGAACCGGATGACGGAGCAAGAAGGCGGAATCGGCGGCCGGGGGACTGAGAAGAGACAGAGGGTCGCCACCGTTGATCCAAGGGACGAAAGGGTTCGCCGTGTTCGGGTTGCCTGTAAGAACACAGTGTGGTGTGAGAGATGGAGGGGCCGAGAGCCCGGGGGGCTTGAGAAGCCGAGTTACGCTGAATAGGGGTTGGGTTGGGGAAGGAGGAGGAGAGGGTTGTGAGAAGATGACGAGCGCTTAGGAGGGATAGAGAGGTGATTTCGAGTGCATGCTGGTGAGGAGGAGACAACAAGTGTTGCTGGCGATGATGACGGACATGTAAGAGCCCCTCGTGGTAGACGACTCTGACAGTGGGCAGTCAGTGGCTATCCAGGGCACCCGTACACGCTGCACCGTACCCGTACCCGGCTGGCGGTGCGCTGGGAGGCGCTTGCGAGGGTTCACCGGGCGGTGAGAGGGCTGGCTCGGTGGGTGCGAGACTCTGAGGAGGACCTGGAGGCTGTAGCCTGCTAGGCGGTACCGAGTCTGTAGCGAACCTGACAAGTGACGGACGCTGAGCTAGTGGCGGGAAGCGTGGTAGCGATGTGCGTGGTGGCCGTGGTGTACCTCGACACACACACAACGAGGCGACAAGGGCGAACAGGGCGATGGTGATGGGCGGACGAGAACGTGCAACTGTACGCGGCACTGGCAGAAATCACGAGAACAGACAGCCCACGCTGGGTTCCCAATGACGAGTGACGGACGAGAATGGGGGAAAATCGGAGCCCGTCGTTGGGTGATCTGGGCTGAGAGGTCACGGATTACAACATGTGGCTGCTGATTGGCCGCCCGTGGCATGTCGCTAGACACTCAAGACATGGGTGCGTGGTCCACCGAGTTTAGCAATATCCACCCGACTCGAGTCCACCTTGCTGCGTCCAGTCCAGCATCGCATCGCGGCATTGATGACACGGAGGGTCGAACTAATGCTGTTTGGGGAATCTTTGAAGCATGTTTTTTTTTTTTCTCCTTGTTCTTTTTCCAATTGTTTTGTCGCTGTCCTGGCTCCCCGAACTAACTTTGCGTTCACGAGCTTGTTGTCTTTGCGCAGTCAATATGCCTTCATCTGTCCTCATCATCATGCCCCCTTTTCTTTCCCCTTACACAACCATCAATAATCACATCTAACCGAGCAATGGCGAGATAACGACAGCCGGGGAGCAAATGACACGACCTATCTACCCTAAATCTCCAGCCTAAACCCGAACAATACGGCGTAATTAGCCTTTCCCGGTTGGCCTGGGCCGGCTCCCCTGGACACCCTGGACTACTCCATCCGCCAGCACGCTCTGATTTGCTTGTCTCGAGAATGGATCAATCGGCACGTCTGGCGAGCAACGCTGTCTCCATGTTGTTCTGCGCCAGACCCTTGGGCCCCGGAGGAAAGAATTTGAACTCTAATGCTCTCTCAGTAAAGCCGAATGTCACGCCAGCTGACTTGTGCCCTAGGACTTCACCGACACGCCATGACTTGCACGTCCAGCAAACAGATTGATCTACAGTCAGGTATCCTTGGGCACCGTCCCATCCCACCCGTCCCCCCGTCTGAGAAGACAACATCACATCAGATTAGACAACCCGATCATCTCTCACATCAGCGCGGCACACTCCCGTCGACCAAGCGAGATACGGCAGAAAAAAAGAGAGAGAGAAGGGCAATGGTCCCCTCCTCATGAAGCCCAGGTCTAGGTCACAAAATCAAATCCACCCTCGCGCAGCGCTATGCCCGCCAGTTCGGTCTCCGGTCCCCTCCCCTCCAGCGCTCTGGAATCGACCAAGGTACAGGGTCCCAGAAGGTACCATACTCTGTCGTAGTAAGCCCTCCCAGGATGCAATGCAACACACCTCGCTGGGCCAGCTCGCTCTCCGAGCCCGACAAAGGCGGCGCCGCGGCAGCAGCAGGATGATGTGTTACTGCGTGTGCTACTACACACATGTCAAGTCTTGAAATAGCAGGATTTGACTTACACCGCCGCCAGCCACCCCTAGCGCAGGGAACAGGACACAAGAATCGAGAATGGCAGCCCTCCATTGTGAAAATTCGATGCCTTCCCCGGCCGAATCAGAGCAGGATGGCTCGGCTCTTGACCTATCATCCCTCCACGCAGCACACCACCAGACGCTTCCTTGACATTCCCTTCCCTCACTGTGAGAAAAGGCCCCCAAAGTACCTGCAGCTCGTAGTGGACCGGAACCCGGCTCCGAGAACCTGGCCTGCAGGACGGGCAAGGCGATGGCCCAGTGACAGGCGACCTGAATAAGCTGACAGGGTAACGGGGCATTTTGCGGTATGGGGAATCGTGGCGGTGACGAATAAGGCAGTCGGTGTCCTATGTCGGCACCCCTCCAACGCCATTACGAAAAAAACAGGATACGTAATCCCGAGGTCGTACAGCGCCATCCTCGGTGTTAAGAGGCGAATTGATTAGAGTCGTCGACTTTTCTGCCTTGATTCGTCACATTGTATGTTTTCTCTTGCTTCGGCGGCCGACCTCCGATCTGCATGACTCCGAGCCAAGAGCCGAGCACCCTCATGGAGACAGGATCGGCCGCGGGACGACTTGGACCCCGTCAGGGCCGGATCCGACGAATTCGTCTCAAGGCTCGGCGCTTCAGGTCGGTGATAGGAACCGTGAAGTCAGGATCAAGACACTTGTCGATAATGCGCACATGTCCCAAGTGAGGGGTCGTCAAGGCTTGTAACGATGCCCCAGATTGACGAGCCAATCGCCTAGTTTTGGAATGTCATCCCTGTCCAGTGAAAGTCATGCCATCTGCTCAGCTGAGCGCACAGTACGGATGATCTTTAGAGAAATAAGGATGCAGCTAATCTTATGATGCCTTGTTGGGGAACATAGTTGCCAAGGATTCTACTCTGGAAATGGGTATCTGCAGCGTTCGCCAAAACAGAAATGGGTATACGCATTCCAAAGGAATGCTTGCCGCCGTAAACAAAGAAAAAAAGAAAGACCAAACGACGCTTGCTGCCGTGCCGGGGCCTCATATCATTCATACCGTCATATCAAGCGTCAGGGTCGCTCGACTCGTCCAAGACCGACGTCTCAAAGTTCTTCCTCATTTCCACGATGGTGTCCCTGGCCAGACAGACAACGATGGCAATGGTGATCGCGTTCCACACGTCCTGGCCACGTTTGCTGAAGCCGACTTCCACCTGGTAACTCCCAGCAGCGTCCTGTTCCTTTGCCGAGTCAATAGTGAGCACCATGACTGATGTGTTGACAACGAACAGTCCGTAAATGACAGGTGGGCGCCGCGTATACTCGCCGGCCCAGAGTTCGTCCGGCTGCTCGGCGCTCTCGGAGTTTTCGCTCGGGCTGCTGTGCTCACTGATGCCATCGCCGTTGATCCCGTTTCGATGCGGGGTCGACGGAGGCAAGTCGGCCTTTTGCGGTGACGGCGTCGGGTACTTGTCCGGCACAAGAACAATCCTGTTGTCCTCGGGCTCGGCCTCCTCGGGGTCGACTTCTGACGCGTACCCATTCTCTTCCTTCTCATGACCGCTTTCAGGTGCCCGTTCAGCTCTCCAGTGAGCGCGTTGACTTGCGGCGGCGATTCTTAGCCGGTTCTGCATGTGCTCCTCGATTGCCTGCGGCGTCTGAGACGTGTCGACGGCGTCAATAATGATGTTCGGCACGTAATCAAGTGTGTCGTACTCTCCGTCGTGCTCAGCCCACTTGGCGTACTCCTGGAGTCTCTTCGTGATCAGCGCGCTCGCTCTGTGCCTTTGGCCTGTCTGAGCCAAGCCTCGAACCTCTCTCGTCAGGTCAATGAGGCGAGCCAAAGCTTTCGTCGCTGGGGCCGAGTTAGCACTCAATACCATCAAGTTGAAGCATCAAACCCCACCTTTGAAATCGTTGCCGGACCGCGTGTTGATGATGGGCGGGTGTGCAACGGAGCTGGCAAATAGGATATCGGGAATTGGGATGCCTCTGAAGCTCATCTGCCAGTCACCTGGCAGCAGAGGGCTGTATTGTCTCATGAACAGAATTTTGAACAGTTTGAATTCGTCATCGGCCCAACTGTCGCTTCTAGGAAAGAGCTTCACTTCCTCCATCATCTCTTTCAGCTGCCGCTGTTCCTCCCCCTTCTCCTTCTCACTGAGAACATCTTCCTTGCGCAAAGGTGTTCTGTGAGTCGACTTTTTGACACGGCCTGACAAGACCCTGTCCGAACCAGGAGTGCCCCCTCTGCCGATGCTTGCGCTTGTTGCCGGAGTCTCCGTGAGAGGCGTCGCGCCGAGAAAGCTGTGATCCAGAAGGCGGGAGTGCTGGGGGGTTTGAAATGGCGAAATACTCCGTAAGGAGCCTGATGAAGGCCGATCCATTGGAAAGTATGAGGTTTTGTGAGATGATTCTGGAGGATAATAAGGATGAGCGGCGTGTAGGGATTTGAAGTCTGGTGGTTGTGTTTGGCAGGTCGCTGATGCTGGGGAAGTCACGTCTTTTGATATCTCACGATCGTGCCTGCCGAGAGAAGCCGCAGAGGTGCATTTCTTTGTCGAGCCGACACTTGTCGCTTCTTCATCTGTAGCAATTTTTATCTCAACCATCTACGGCAAACCCGCGCAGTAAGGCAGGAGGCCAGGGAGATGGCGGAGCTCTGTTGTCCCTTGAACAGAAAGTTGCAAAGCAGAAAGGCGCAACGGGCCTGTGGCATTGTTCGCGAAGAAAACGGCGCGGGACAAAAGCCGTTGGAATTCCCCTTTCAATTGATGTCGACGCGGTGAGACCAAAAAAATAGCCCGGATTCCAAGAATTAAGGTAAGGTACGGCGGCTGGCGGCTGGTGGCATGCCGCCACGCTGCTAGAATGGATACCTGGCCCGTGCTCAACTGGCTTCACCGTCTGATCTGTGCTTAGTCATGTTGATGCGAACAGAAGAAGCAGGAGCCATCGGGTATCCCTTGTCACTTCTTTCCTCATGTTCAAAATTATCAGAGCAAGGTGTTAAAAAAAATTCGTAGCTCTAGCTCTAGAAAATAAAGCAAATGTTCAAATTGCGCTCAAGCATAGGGCGGCGCGCAAAATGCCAGACTTGAGACGAAGTCAACGCTTTGAACCACGTGATTGATCTCCCGGCAGATGACGGCGCGAAAAGTTGTGGGGCCGCGCGCAGAGATGACATCCTTCCCAGACGGGATCGATCACTGTGAGGGTGGGAGGCAACCCCTGCACTAGAGCGACTTTGTCTACCTTAGCGTACCAAGTACCAGTAGCTCAGTGGAGAGGCTCTGATTTGCATGACGGGGCAATTTTTCAGGTCGCGACGACGCGCTCAACTTGGAAGCGACCCAATGACGACTTGCCTTCCCGGTTGTCCACCTTCTGCTCAGCATCGCCAACCTGACACATCGCAACACGCGCAAACAACATTGGCAACGCGCAAATATCGCTCTGATCACGCGCCCAACATCACTTTTTCAATTTTATCTAGCATTCGAGCTATGCGACACTCGTTGCGACGCAGCAATTATTCACGATGAAGGACTGGAGCAAGCAAACCGTCGTCCAACTCAAGGCTGAGTTGAAGCGGCGAGGGCTTGCCATAGCTGGCCTTAAGCAGGACCTCGTCTCGCGACTCACCGAAGACGATGCCAGCAATGCAGCCGCCGAGAACGAGGCGGAGGCCTCCGAACCCGAGCCCGCTGAGACTTCCGAACCTCAGGCTGTAGAAGCTGAGGAGCAGTCTGCGGACTCTGCTTCTGTCGACGAAGCCCCCAAGGAATCTGCGCATGCCGAACCTGATACTGCACCTGCCGAACCCGAAACCGCGCCCGTGCCCGAGTCTGCCTCCCCAATTTCCAAGACCACCAGCGACGCCCCGGCTGTAGCCACCGAGAGTGACGACAAACAAGATGCTCCGGCTGCACTTCAAGAAGGCGTGCCTTCGGCCGAAATAACCCCTCCTGCGCCTGCCGAGATAGCCCAGGATGCTCAAAAGCGAAAGCGCCGTTCAGAGAGCCCTGCCGAGCCCCTGGAGGACGCCTCCCGCAAACGCCTCAAGGCGCAAGACGACGACGAAGTGCAATCTTCAGAGCCTTCTGGCGTGATTGGGGTCATCAGCAACATCAAGGACGCGTTGGTGGAGAACACCAGCCTTGCCGAAGATATCGCCAATGATGCAAAGGCCGTTTCCGAGAATGTACCCCAGCCTGAAGACGAGCCTATGGAACAGGACGAACCCGAGACTAAGGGAGATGTTGAAGACGTCGCAATGACAACAAACGAAGAGGCGCAGAATGAAGCCGCGGCTACGGTTGCCGATGATTCTGTCCCGGCTCCCGAATCAGCAGACGTCGCAGACCAAACCAAGGACGCGAATGATATACAGTCCCCTATCGGGCAGGGAGCAGGCGATGCTATGGAGTATGAGCGCGACGTGCAGCCATCCGTCCACCCTGCAACCAGAGCTCTTTACATCAAGAACTTCATGAGACCTCTTCGCGAGAACGTGGTTCAGGCTCATCTGCTTGAGCTTGCGACCCCGGCCGGCACCGATCCAAACGAAGGCGATATCGAGGATTTCTTCGTCGACCAAATCAGGACTCATGCTTTTGCGGTCTTCAAAACCACATCTCAGGCTTCTCGCGTCCGCAACGCCTTACATGACGTCATTTGGCCCGATGAGCGTGAGCGCAAACCACTTTGGGTGGACTTTGTCCCTCCCGAGAAGGTTCGTGAGTGGATTGACGAGGAAGAGACTCAGGGACACAGCCGGAGAGGAGCTCGCTGGGAGGTCATTTTCGATCGTGAGGACGATGGGTTCGTCGTTGCCCGCCTGGATTCGGGCACCGCGCCTCCGCCCGCGCTAGCCGCCCCCGAGCCTACCAGACCTATCCCTTCCGGGCCCGCTGTTAAGGACGTGAACGCGATTCCTTTGGGACCTCGGGCCAGAGGCACAGAGGGAGCGCCTCTTGGACCCAGAGGAGACCGGGACCCGCCCCGCGGCCCTGGAGGCAGAGGCTCTCGTCAGATCCAAAACTTCCCAGGAGGCCCTGTCCAAACGACGCGCAAGAACCCCCCGATCACATTCCAGCCCGTCTCCGACGATCTGGCCAGCAGACGAATCCGCAACATGCGTTCATTCTACACCCAAGACCTTAAGCGCGACATGGGTCCCGAGACCGAGATCAACCGCTACACTTTCGAGCAAGGCGATAGTTTCGTCGACCGCGGCCAAGAAGTCTTTGTCGGCATTCGCCCACCGCACAGAGAGAGAGATGCGCAACGCAGACGGGGCTTCGACAGCGGACCCCACCGCGGATCAGGCCCCCGCCGCAATCGAAGGAACGGCGGCGGCGGCGGCGGCGGCGGTGGCAATGGTCGTCGCAACCCTCGTCCCCTGAGCGATAGGTACCTCCCGGGTATCAATGAGGGCGGCCCTTACAGGCAAGGCGACCGTGGAACCTTCGGCTCGCGCAGCGACGATCGTGAGAGACGATACTAAAACAATCGTCACATGGGCGACAGATATATCCCAGGTATCAATGAAGGTGGCTTTTACAGGAAAGGCAACCGTGGAAACGGTCGTCCCAGACGACACTAAGGGTAGCCCTCAGAGTGGTTTGGTCCTTGTCGGCGCTCATCGACTCAGGTCCCCTAAGGTCTCCGGGCTAGCCCAGCGGGCTGCAAACCTCGAGACGCACCGAGTATTCTTAGCAGCGCGACAATATCAAAGAGACGGGCGAAGGGTTTTGGATCAGGACTTGGCGCGCAAGTCGAATCCTATCCAGCATGTATATGGAGTGTAGGAAAACTTGGGGACAAAAGGATGCAAAACGTCAGCGACGCATGCGGCAGGATACAAACACGATATCGCCAAGCATCGCTTCGAAGCACGGGGCAAGGGTGGGACGGGGAAAACTGGAAATGAGGTGGGCAGGGTGGCTATTTGAATTTCTCTCTAACGCCCAGCGTCGGGTGCCTCCATGGCATACGCGAAGCTGTAGATTGCTTTTCCCAACAAGACCCCTTTTTTGACACCATAGAGAGAGACGCTGCGATACCACTGCCCGCCTTACCCGCGGGCTTCACCATACAGGAGGATTTTGATTTCATTCTCCCAAAAGTAGAACATTCAAGAAGACATTAAACTGAACCTTTGAAACTTTCTGTGATGTCCTGCTGGGCGTAATCTCCTTCTCTGCCGAGGAAGGGCGGCGGCGCCGCAGACAGAGTCGAATAGTGGATGAGACGCTAGTTGAACATCTTCAACGAGCTCGCATATCGCTTTCAAATTCAACTCATATATGGCTTGGCAGGCGTCTATCGGCTAGCCAGAGAGGGGCCTGACTCATGATTTGTCCTCCATCGACGTGTGAGCCTAGGTAGCAGGCTGATGATTTGAGTGCGATCCAGGGAGAATTCAGCTTGCAGGCCGGTATGTGTTTCCCTGCACTCGTCCATAAGTAATCATCGGATCGTGAACTCGCACCAACCTCTCTTGGGTTGCGCCCGTTCGTCAAGATGTTGAGATATCAAGATTAATGAATTTCATAGTGACGAGAGAAAACACAGGCAGCTTTGTAGGGAACAATCGTGACAGTGCACTTGTAGCATCTTCACTCGAGGGAGAGACATGTTATTTCCAAATGAAGTGCCTTTTTTGCATCAATTTAGGAATGAATAGCTACTTTTGGGCTATGTATCAACTGTAAATAAAAAGAGGAACCATCACTAGCTTCCCAAGACGAAAACCCATTTGTACCTGCTACGAAACCGCATATCCCATGAAAGTCAAGAACGATCTAAATCCACAGCGGAACAAACTTAGGCAGCCGCAGCCAGGGTGGTGGGCTCGACACCGACACGCTCCCTGCTGAGAATGTCCAGCATGAGGGGTGTGGGGCGGTTGTCCTTGTAGATCTTCTCGCTCTCCTTGAAGAGCTGGACGTTCTCGAGGTACTTGTCAAAGAGGTAGGAGCTGTCCATCGGGCCACCCTTGGCCTCGGGGTGGAACTGGGTGGAGAAGATGGGGCGGGTCTTGTGCATCATGCCCTCGTTGCTGCCGTCGTTCAGGTTGACAAAGTACTCCTTGAACTCGCTGGGCAGGGTGGAGGCGTCCACAGCGTAACCGTGGTTCTGGCTGGTGATGTGGCACTGACCAGTGGTCAAGTCGAGAGCGGGGATGTTGTGGGCACGGTTTCCGTACTTGAGCTTGATGGTGCGGGCACCGACGGCAAGAGCAAGAAGCTGGTGGCCGAGGCAGATACCCATGATGGGGACGGGGGAGGTCTCCATCAGGCGGCCCAGGTTGTAGATGGTGTCCTGGCAATGAGTTGGGTCACCAGGTCCGTTGGAGATGAAGACACCGTCAAAGTTGGAGGCGACCTTCTGGATGGGGTAGTTGTAGGGGAAGACGGTGACGGAGGCACCACGGCTGACGAGGCTGCGGAGGATGTTCTCCTTGACACCGCAGTCGATCAGGGCGACGTGGTACTTGGCACCAGGGGACTCGACAACGAAGGGAGCCTTGGTGCTGACGCGCTTGACCAGGTTGATCTGGCCAGGGTCGATGAAGCTCTCGTCCTCGTCGGCATCGTACTCGTCACCAATGGTGATCCTGGCGAGGGAAGAACCCTGCTCACGGAGGAAGGTGACGATGGCACGGGTGTCGACACCAGAGATGGCGGGGACGCCCTCACGAGCGCACCAGTTACCCAAGCTCTCGACGGCAGTCCAGTGGCTGTACTGCTCAGCGACGTCGGCGACGACGACACCGGCGCACTGGATGTGGGGAGACTCAAAGTACTTGAGGAGCTTGTACTCGTCAAGCTGGTTGGAGGGGACGCCGTAGTTGCCGATGAGGGGCTGGGTGAAGACCAGAATCTGGCCGCGGTAGGAGGGGTCGGTCATGGACTCGGGGTATCCCACGAGAGAGGTGGTGAAGACAGCCTCGCCGGAGATGTTGGAGTTTGCTCCGAAGGCTCGGCCCGAGAAGACTGGACCATCCTGTTGTGCATGGTTAGCCCACCATTGATTCACAGTGACGTTTCGGTGGATCGTCGGAGGTTACGTACCCGGATGGTGAAGGTAGCGTCGAGGTTTGCGACGGGGGCAGTGGCGCGGGTCTGGTTGAAGGGCATCTTGCGTCCCTTGCTGCCAGTGGCCTGCTTGGAGAGGAATCGGGTCTGAGCACGGAAACCTGTGCTCAACCCGGCGGCACTCTTGACCGCGGGCTTGGAGAGTTGGGTGGCCAATCGAGAGAACATGGTGGTTTATCGGTTGGTAGGTCTGGTACGAGGTAGCTTTTCTGGTTGTGTCAAGAGACCTTTAGGCCCTGGAAGCCTTCCACAAGTGGTCTGTTTGGCCATGGTTAGTCTTTGGTTGACAGAGGGCGGTGAGTCAACCGCGGAGAGGGCATCGTGCGAACCTGAAAGGTAATCCTATTGATAGCGAGTCAGCAACTGGTATTCGGCGGCATTGTGGACGAATTGAAGAATGCAGAAGGTGCAAGTAGACGCCGGTTGAACCAATTGGGCTATGACCACGAGCACGAGACAGAGTTTTGACCGGCGGGGTTGAGTATCACGAAGGCCGTGACCTCAAAACCCCCCGGCCGCAGGAGGGGAAAATGATGAGAGACAAAAAACGGCTGCATATATCATCGGCAGCAGCAGCAACTTACCTGAGAGGTGAAGACTGACGGGCGCCCGTTCATAAGGGCAGCTTTGCAAATGTGCAATCAGAAGAGGGGTATTTTATTTTTCTCTGAACGAGATGTTGGAGGCGGAGGGGTTATGGCCGGAGATATTGTGTGACGGGGATGTTGCAAGATGGTGCAGGATTTTTTTGTTGGTGAGAGAAGGAGAGAAAAATGTGAGAGAGTGAAGGGGAGGTAGATATCGGCTAGAAAAATAAGGGAGAGAGAGGAGGAGCACGAGCACCGGCGCGGAGGAGTCACACACACACACTGGACAGGGACAGGACACAGCTCCAGTGTCACCGGGCAAGGTCAAAGTCAAGGTCAAGGTCACTCGCAGCGTACATTTGCAGGCGTGCAGCCAGTACACGGTACATTGAGGCTGCTTAAGAAAATAAATGGAAAGCTTGTCATTGGACCCTTTGTGCAAATTTGCTGGCTCTGGTGGGGTTCCAACGCTGTGATACGCCCGCCACGGGGAAGACGGGGAGGCCATGGGGACCGGCGCTGCAAGAGTCGCAGTCGCTGCAGGGGAAACTCTCGCAGACAGCGCACCCAAGGGCCCCAAGGACGGCAGCAGATGAGGGACATGTCGCCGCCCCGCAGTCAGGGCGCGCACGCCGATGTCGTCGTTATCGCGGGGCTTTGACGTGAGGCAATGTGCTAAGACAATCCGCCCAGAAATCACGCCTTACATAATTCCTCTCTCCCTGGCTGGCCACGCACGTTAAGCTATCTGATGCCCGGGGACCTCACGGATAAGGTAAGACACCTTAAGGTACCTAGGCACCTAGGGTGGTATTTCTTCCCCCCCCCAGCTCTTATCAGCCCTGTTTGATTGACCGACATTACATCACCGCCGTGAACGCGAGGGAGCCATTGAGCTGGTATTTAGTGTGTGGGAAAATAACCCAAACCCTAAGATCGACTCTGCTGTATTCGGAAGTGTAATTTGCGTCTTCTGGAGTCCTATAATTGACGCAACGTCTAGACCGGTGGGCTCAGTGGCCAAACCAAACGTCTGTCTCTGATGAACCGGCCGTATTCGGAGTCGAGTCCCACCATCCAAAATCCCAAAGCAAAACGTCCAACTGTCTGCGACCTTGACAATGCATAGTCCACTAACTGCCGTAACTGCATGTGGCCTAGAACTCTGACCGGCCTAAACGGGGCGGACGGACGGGGACGCCCTCCGCTTCCGGCCTATCGGGCTCTCCCTTGCCAACCAGAAACGAAGCAAACAAGTTGAATCCTTTCACAACCTATGCTCACCGACTCGAGTCGCGCTGCTGTCCTTGTCTCGAAATAGGACCCCCGCCAGCGCCAACCTCTCGGAAACCCCGGTTGCGACCTCCACCGCCCGTCTGTCTTTCTCTTCGCTCAATCTAACAAGCTTCAGCACGCAACCAACTCTATGATGGAGAAATGGTTACCTCTGCCATGTTTGCTTTGTTTCTGGCTTTCGCAGAGTTCAAAGAGACTCTACACAAATGTCACCCTGGCTGCGCTTCTCTGCCATAGAATGGCATCACGTGGGCACTTGTCGTGTCGGGCAGGCCCAGCCGAGACGCTTGGCCGCATGCCAAGATGGCAGACAGCAACAGGACTTGCATCGCTACACGACCTGCGTCAACCTAATACTGACTCAACCAACCGTATCCCACATGGACATGCGTTGCATGCCCAACAAGATGAGGAGTTGATTGCTTTTATTGTCGGACATTCGAGTTCCACTAATCCTCTTGGGGCTCCGCTTGGTCGATAAACGAACTCTTGAGTCTTCTAGTGAAGCAGTCATTTCCTCTTTCAAGTTCCTGTATTGGACCGACAAGTGGTTGACATGACCCTTCACAACCAAAGTACTTGAGAAAGGCTCAATCGGAGACGCTGAGCGGGTGGTTCTCGTAGGTCGTTTTGGATTTTTCACATGAGCGCCATCAACTCCTCCAACCTGGAAAAGCCGTAACCTTGAAAGAGTGATAACCTGATCCCCGTTGCGCGTGCTACAATTCAAGACTGGACGCCTTGCTCTTTCTTCCAGACAAAGCCATTCATCCCATCGTTTCCCACATCTCATGAACGCTAGATCCAAAACAAAATTCCATCACAACATATACAACCTCACCCTCCTGCCCGTCCCCTCCGCCTCCCCGACTATCTTCCCATTCTCCCTACTCAACGCGAGCCTCATCACAAACACCATGCCCACCGTAAGACATGAGAACATGAGCATCAGACAAAACGCCAGCAAGTAGCGCGGACTATCCTGCGGCCTGAAGAAGTAAGGCCCCCAGATTCCCCCCAGCTGCGCCAGCAGACACACAAGCGCCGTCGCCGCGGCCCTCTTCTCGGGGGTGGCGCTCAGCGTGCTCGCGGCCCAGCTGAAGATCAAGCCCGTCGGCGCGAACGCCCCCGGCACGAAGAGGAAGCTGGCAAAGTACCGCACGGGACTGTTGACCGTCGAGGCCGTGATAATGTACCCGATCATGGCGACGCACAAGGGGGCCACGATGTGAAGGCCGCGCTCGCCCCGCCTGTCGCTGGACATGGCGACCCCGATGCTGACAACGGCGGCTAGGAGGTAGGGCGGCGCCGTGAGGACGAGCGCGATCGTGTTCGAGCCTAGCTTGAACCCCTGGACGATCGTAGGGAAGAAGCTCGTCAGCCCGTGACAAGAGAGGAAAAAGACATTCAAGCAGACCTGCAGGACATGATCAGCAACGATATCACCAGATGGTGGTTCCTCAGCACTCACAAACCCCCACGTCTTGATGTCCGTAACAGCGAGCCTTAGCCCATGCCACACAGTCCCCTTCTCCTCCGGCACCGACACCCGGTCGGCGTCCATCCTCATCTTTGCAACCCTCAACTCCCCCTCGCTCATCAGCCACGAGCAGACCCCCGTCTTGCTCCCGATGTAATCTGGCAGAAACGCAAGCGCGGTGAAGGCCGACGCAAAGCTGCCCGCCCCCTCGATGATGAAGAGCCACTGCCACCCCTCCAGCCCGCGGACGCCGTCTAGATGCGCGAACACGGCGGCGGCGATGAGCCCCGCGAAGGCGGTGGCCACGAGCATGCCAGAGTAAAGGATCGCGGTACGGAAGGCGAGCTCCTTCTGGGTGTACCAGCATGACAAGATGTAGATGACCTGGAGCGTGTCTTAGTATGCAAGAGTCTAAGGGGGTTAGGTAGGTGGGCTGGCAAACCCCCGGGAAGAAAGGCGCTTCAACCACGCCCAAGAAGACTCGGATGACCGCCAGACTCGAGAAGTCCTTAGCCGCTGCCGTTGAAGCGGATACGCATGACCACAGAATCACGCAGCAGGGGATATATATGCTCGGCCGGACCCGTGTTATAAGCATGTTGGACGGCAGCTGTGCAGTCATATACCTGCACTCCGTATCAGCACCCATACACAATAAGGGTCAAACGGGACGCTTCGCGCGTGCATACCCGACGTTGAATACCGACACGGCAGTGTTGAACTGGTTCCCCACAAGACCCAGGTGCTTCTCGAAACCGTTCAATTTCGCCTGCCTAGCCTCTTGTTAGTTCCTTTTCACCCTGCCACTGACGGCGGCGTGAGACCTACGCCAGGTTGTTCCGGTCGAGAAAGTTGAACATGTACAATGTCCAGACCACTGGTAGCAACGACATGTCCAACTTCCTCACGAGGCTCTTCTCGGTGGCCCTCCATTCTGGCTGCTCCATGGCGATTTCCTCCGGCGGCCTGGTTGGCGAAAGTGGTGAATCCGGGACCACTGTGCCCTTCTCGACCGTCTCGACAGAGACATCTTTGCTGGCGAAACTTATCCTGCCCATGCTGTAAGTCGTCTCCGTACCGTCGTATGTGTCGTCTCTCCCAGCTTCGAAGGATAAGTAGTGGACGATGAGATGAAGAAAAGGTCAAGTTGATGGATGTACTGTATTGGAGTACACAGTCCTGAACCCGCACATCGAGTCAAGGAGCATACGCAGGCCACCCTCCCCGAAGCCAAACGGTAATGTTCGTCCCCGTATTATATTCAACCTTCTCACAAATCCAAATCCTCAAGACCACATGGGATTCTTGTGCCCATCTGCCCAAAACAAGCAACGAAAAGCCGAGAAAAAGCAAAGAGCCGATAACGAAGCTTGGCCCTCTCGGACACACCGGGCTCCAGACTCCCCCATCGTTGTGCGTTGTTCCATTTGTATTGGAGGGGGAGGAAGCAAAAGTGTTGCAGGCTCAAAGTCTATATAATCGCATTTCTCACCCTCTTTCTAAACCTTAAATGTTTTGCGGCTGTGACCGCGGGAGTGTTGGATGGGAAGGGAAGTCAAAAAGGGAACTTCGACCAAAGAGATGTTAGTACTGGGTCAAAATGAGTTAAGATCACCGGGGGCAATGATCGGACGGAAAGCCCACATAAACTCGGCCGATGGCGGTCCGCGGACGCGGGCATGCGGGATGGAACCCTCCTCACTTGGTAGAGCAAACAGCACGGGAATAGCGAGGGCGTTCCATCATCGTCAATTCTCCAACTTTTAATGAGGCTCACAAGTAGCTCAAAGGTGGAAACAGACAGA